GCACCGATTCATAAACTCTTTTTTTACCCTAGTAATTTAACTAAGCTATACAAGGATAATAGTTTTGCATACATCAGACCTGGGTGTTAACATCCGTGCACCTTGAGATGAATCAACTTCCACGGCACCCCTCCACTTTTTATTAGTCGTATTTGTAGGGGATCTTCCCGGGGGGCTCATTTTCGAGTTCCGAATCTTCTTCTCGAGAGTTTTTCGACTAACGGCTGATGGTGTTGCTGGAGTAGAACTTCTACCGAATAAAAGACTTATACGGCAAGCTGTTTCTTCCGCTGTATTCTTGAGACGGGACTCATGTTTGTAAATTTCACAACTTCTTCCGTGGCTCACTGCAACTCACTAACTAAAAAGCTCACTGACGATATCCGAGTAAACGATCCCAGATTTCAAAGGGTACAAGTGCAAGGAAACAAAGTGTCGCGAACTGTAGCGTCGTAATAAAATAGCGCCATCTTGAAACCTAAGGTAAATCTTTGTCATGTTCCATAGTGAACGACCCAATACGACAATACAACCTTGCTAAATAATTTGCTACAAAAGATACAAGCGATCTCAAATCGGCTTAGAACACTCGGCAAATAATTATACACATATGGCCCGCTAACACTATCAGATAGATGCAAGGACGATTCGTCTTACGAGAATGCTTTTGCCTTGGGTACTCAGTATAATTTCAGTTGCACAGCCGCGAGTCTGTCTCTCTCTCTCTTATACTCGCTGTCTACCAATAAAGTATTAAGATTCAATAATCTGCTGCAACCTAAACAAGTGGTAACTTCAAAACTTCAGAACTCACGACATTTCAGACAAATGCTGTGGCAAGCCCTCGATCGATACAAGCGGTCCATCACCTGGCTCCAAAAAGGACGTATACGTTTCATAATCATTTTTATTTTGCTAATCGACATGACCGAGCTAAGACGATAGGGTGGTCACCTTTCGTGCTCAGCTTGTCTCTCTCAGTTACTCATCTCACCGGTTAATAACTGAACACTGAGTGTACGAATGCCCTCACGGTGGCTTCTTAGCATATTTTAATAACTGCATTGTTAGAAATGCTTTTTTACACAAGAGTGATATATTGTAGCTTCTAAATGCAGCGCTCCAAATACACGACTTGAAAAATCTGCCCCTAGATCATATGGCCAGTATGTCATGTATGAAAGAACAGTCAATTCAGTCGGAACGCCGTTTTCGAGCGTTGATTTTTCTATTCGATAAACAAATTACCGATCTCCAGATGAAAACATATTCCAAGAAACTTGCCAAATACGAATCAAGTATTTTAATTGGAGTGATGCTTTGTAGACAACATATGCTATGTTCTGAAGGGAAGCGTATCTTATCCGAAAAGTTATTCTACAGTAATTTATCAAGCGTTCTACGAAAGAACCTTTGTATAGGTCCTCTGTTTCAGAAAATACTTCGTTCCCCTTTAGCGAAATGGTACGAACTCCACCTCTTTTGAAGCGTCTACCACAAGTTAGCACAAAAGCCATTAAACGTCCGCGATCAACCAGCGGAACAATAATTGACAATTTTGGAACAGGTTAGCTATAGACGACATAACTTATGCGTACCTCTTTTCGGTCATAACTTCCGCCGACAGAATAATGCGGGGTTTAGCTTTTGGCCATTCAGAACTTCTGGAACAGCCAGTAGGAACTAGCACCAACGTTTCGATGATGCGAGATAACCCACTAGAAACTAAAATGACTGTGATATCTATTACTACCACACAATCCAATGGTACCTATGTAAGCTTTATTTTTGCAGTTTAATCAAGATACTAAAGCATTTATTAACCCATTTTTCTACGTGAAATATCTTCTGAATACATTCTTCATTGGATAACTTAGTGACTATTATCAATGACAAATGTTCTATTGATTCATATACAAATTCACTGCATCGCTACTTGGTTCTTTGCCTGTTCAGGTACATCGTCCCAAGATTGCTGTCTCCATCTTTTGAAACAAGTACTCGGGTGAGCTTTTTCCTCACGAAAGGCCGTTTCACTGTGCTCGTAATGCTCATCCATCTTATCGTTCTAATGCATTTGCCTAATTTCGAAGGCAAAGTGGTCTAGCGAAAAACAAGGAACATACTCATTTCGTTATTTCACGACTAAATTAATTTTCTCATTTATGTTTATATGCTCCATCTATCATCAAACTGTAATTTGGTTAAATTATAGCTAAGTGTGTCTAAATAAATGGTTTCCGTTCCACATCCGATACGTGCCGTGAAGGATCGTTTTAGACGCCCTAGCGCGAAACGAACTGTGTTTAGTCCTAGTTAGTCAGGTTTGTAGCAAAATACCTTTCCAATGCACCATAACAAAAACAACGTTGGTTCATCTGTGTTTACGTTACGTATATACATATATATATATATATAGGATTGTTCAGTAAAGAGGGCAACTGAACACAACCTATAAAGCTGTTGTATTTTCTTGGATTATTTGCGACATTCCTGAACATTTTCGTAATCGCCGTATTGTTAAATGGCAGGATGCATACAATTAGAATCGTTGTTTGTGTTCGAAAGTGCGGCACGTGTCTCGAGTCCATCGTGCTTGTACGTGAACGATGAACTTTGTTGTCAATGCTCGGAAGCGATATACGTGTATATAGATTGCCTCTCTTATATGCAGTTTACATTGCGCGTGGCTTGGGCCATCTATGAGGACATCAAATAATTCGCTGCTGTACAAAGTATTTAGTTTTCTTTATCATATGAATTCGAAACTTCGATTTCGATTATTGTCAGTTGCATTGCCGGTGTGGGTGTTCCTATTGGTCCTAGAAGGCCCCATTGGCACCTATTAACTTGCTATGTGAACATGCTTATTTTACCATGACGTTAATTCTCAAAAAGCTCCAAGAATGGCATTGGTTTCATATCGGCCCGCTAAAAGACAGGGAAAAAGTTCGTTTATCTGCTGAAGCTTAAAGTATTTACACTTTCTTTTTTTACGCCGCGTGTGACATGGCAATTATATCTTTTCCCTTCGCCTTCTCTATTATCAATTCCGTCAGAGCCTCTACCCTACGTTATGATATTTATACCCAGCGCTGGCTCCACAGCACTGGATATAAACGGATGTTATCCTGACAGATGTGAGCGTGACGACTTGCTAGCAGTGCTAAGGTGACTATGCGAGCAAAGGCACCACAAGCTTAAAAGAACTAAGCACGTGCAATACATTTATAGTAAATGGTGCTCATTCTAATGTTATATCTTTGTTATCGTTGCTATATAGTATCTATGAATACTGAATTTTCTTACAAGCCAAACCTATTTCTTTTCATAAATTAACTTATATTAAAGTTTTTTGAGCTCTCCTCAGTCGCCTACACTGTAGTGGGAGAAGCTTAGTATCATTTTATAAGGATAGTTTATGTCATTATCTGTCAAGGTTCGATGGACATGGCTACTGCAACGGTTAATTCTTTCTTTCATTAACATTTCATATGCTATATTGCAAAAATTTAAGTTGCACTTAAATATCCTAGACATGAGAGTTACACGTATGTCAATAAGAGCTATGTCTTGATGACAAAAACGTGCATAAAGTTTTTTTTTTTTTTATTAGAAACCTGAACTGAGTATGCTGGGAAGGAACAATAGTATTACATAATTCAAAGCTGCTCCCATAATCTCTAACCCAGCGGTGGTGCTATCGTAACGTGTTGTGCTACTAAACTTATGGGCACGTAGAACTGCGGGAACAAATAGGCGTAAAAACCGTTCACCTTGTACTCGAAACCTAGAACAACGCTGAGCGGCAGCACCGGGCTTCAAACTCAAAGCACGTACTTATGTTTCTCATAATATAGACCCATATAGTTTCTATAGCATGTCTTAACAGGAAAATATCCTTTCATAATAGCCTTATGTTTCTCTATCCAGGTATATAAATGGTAGGACAGCTAGGGTAACAGATAAAAGAACTTTTCGAAGAAACGGTGAATTCTAAAATCGATTTGGAGGCTAAACTTGCGTATGAATGCTGTTAGTGTCCTAAACAACATGATTATTTATTTTTTCATTAATGCTATCATATATTATCTTTATAAGACTTATAGAAAAAAATGCAGATATTTAGTAGAAGCTTGAATGCGTCCCATTGCCATTGAGAGCCCTTCACGAGGATGCGAAACATTTATATATATACGATATATATATATACACGAGGATATAAACATTAGATAGAAGAAGTGTAGAGGAGGCTAGTCGTATGAAGCAACGCTTTACATTTATTTAGGGCGTAAAACATTTACTTAGCATACACGATGCTTTGGCCTGGCCTGATGTTAGGATTTTGTAGCATCTTTACCGCAAAGATATACAAAATCTGATAACGAAAACAAAAACCGATGGTGGTAGTTTCACTATAAAAGTATTGAAAGATTAGCAAGTAAACAATTATTTATTTACATGGCGGCCGGTAACAAGACTTATTTATTTCATACTGACCATATTATAATCCTTTTAAGAAAAAAGATTTTACTGCACTACTCATTATATTCACGCATTAATTTTCCTTTTTATTTTTACGGCAAATTTACATGACATAGTTTATATCTGTAGTTGTTCCGGGTAGTTCCATTACAAAGTCGACTGACACATTTGTCGATTTGAGAAATTCGACCAACGATTGCGACCTTCCTAGTATGCCATGAACGAATTTGGTTTCTTAAGATTCACAGGTTTTTTTTCTGTGAAAACATTTGGTCAGATGTCAAGTTAGAATTACCACCTCTACCAATTTTGCGAAAAAAATCAAGTAAATAAAAAAAAAATCAGTTCGTTTTCGAGAGCATTTTTAATTTTTTTTTCTTCAATGAATCTACAGTTTCAAGAAGGTATCCTTAGTACTAAATGCTAAGCAGTGTTTGAAATGTTTTTGAGGACCACACACACACACACACACGTACTTGTTGTTTCTACTGGCATAAATGAAGACAACGTTTGGATAAAACTTTAAATTAGTAACTCATATATTTTTTTACTATTTTTATTAACTTCTTTTCTGTCTATATATACTCGCCATTACATCGTTTAGTTATTTACCGACATTATTATCATATCGTCCGATCAATCCAATCACTTTATTGGGGTACTATAGTTTTGTTTGCCGATTTGGGCGCTCTTAATAAATAGCCTGATTTCACGGATATCATGTCATACTTTCCGCGAGAAAGATTAACGCACAACGGTTCCACTGAAGTAATCGTATCATACTCCTCAATAGAACATCGTGTCGGCAATGGCCTTCTGTTCGCTGACTCTACACAAGACCTCGGTACTGTCAACCAGTTCCTTCGGCACCCGGTCACAAATCGTATGGCTCCTTTATATATTCAACGTTGTGTTCACCATATATCTACAGTAATTAGTTTTTCTCTGTAATCGTCGCTGTTTTGTGATGCTGGTGATTGCTTAGTTTAGGGCAATGGAGGGTATCGAGAGGAGAAGTACTCGCAATGGAGGTCCTTTAGTTATTGATTATACGGGAACTCACACTGTAGAAATGACCCTGTTTCGTTGTAAATCTCTGTTCTCGATCCTGTCGTATTTGCCCAAATCATGATATTTACGACGATGGATTTCCGAGTCTGGCGAACACGTGTGAAATGGGAGTGCTCATATTTAGTTGCAGGCTTACCTCAGCATGCAGTGCATAAGCCATTGTTTGTTATCAAAACGTTTCAGAGTAGCGTTCGATAAAATATATCGCTGATCGCTATACCTTGTTGTGTGAAAATATTTAGGTAGAGTGCTATTTCCCTTACATTAAACATTATGTGTCTATTGTAACTGGTTCCTATGGGTGGCAGGTTTTAACGCGATCATGCTTGGAAAATATATCGAGTCTGGCGCCTTATTGGGTATTGAGTTTTCGAATTCTCGCAGCTATATTAGTGTACTGTTGTACTGATTAGCTGAATAAGTTAATGTGTACCTGCGACCGATCATTTCGTCATGAAATTGCCTGTTTCAGTGTTGTTACACACGCGCCTCATAACTACATGTGCAACAAGTATTCATTAGGTAAAATGATCGGTGCGATTGCCATCTTCTCCTCTGTACAGCGATAGCTCCATTCTATAGGTTACAATAGAGATAGACGCATGCAACGCGCAGTGCGTCCTAGCCGCGTTTGGCGTTCCCCCTTTTATCCAATTGTTGGTGCCTAGCAGCAATATAGAAAGGTCAAGGAATGACCTCTGTCTCACTGGAACCGAAGACAATAACCAGTACTTTCTGGGCTTACACACTCGAGAACGGTCCAACGTCACGAAGGTGCTGTTACGTCCACGAAAACGAATTGCACTATTTTAACTGCTACAGTTTAACTTGGCGATCGATAGTTCATATTTGCAGCACTCGGTATGTCGTGTTGTCCATGCGTTGGGCATCTGATGAACCGCTGGACTAGCAATCGTCATACGTGAAGCATGTTCATGGTGAGGGCAGGCAAGCTTCAAGTGCCTTTCATATAACCTCGAGGTCCTATAAGGCTCGGCGGAAGAAGTTCTCTGAGTTTCCACGCAGTTAAATAAAGCCTTAAAAGTCCTCTGTATTCATGCGAAGAACGGATGTTTGCTTGGTAAGTGCCATTATTTCAAATGTAAAATGTGTCATACTAAGCGAAGATTGGGCAAACTGTATGTGCGAGCTTTAGTCACGTCTGCAAATAATTTAAGCTTGAGAATTTTGAGCGCATGAACGAAGAAAACACCTTCGGGGATTACATTCGAAATTTATTATTGTTCCTTTTGTTCTCCTAGCTGTTCTCATACAATACAATGAGTGTATAGATGCAAGGCATTTATTCATTTCAACGAGCGTGGATGAAGTGGCGATTTGAACAACAAAATTAAACAGATCTGTACATGTAAAAAACGGCGACAAAATGTTCGATGCTATTACCCCTCGCAGTTGAAAAGGAAGGCAAGTGAATATTTACAATTTGGCATCAGCCTGAAACGGCGTGAAGCATAGAGCGATGCTGCCGCCGAAAGCCTACTAAGAACCATAAAGCATATTTGCTGACTAGTTTAGTTAAAGACCGCAAACAGAGTCCTTTTTGCATCTCGTCTTATTAAATTCACCATAGCTCATCGCATGTTAGGAAGTGACTTGATTTATCTCGCACGACAAAAACCATGTGAGTATATATTTTGTTTTTTTTTTCTTTTTTTTTTTCGCCTATGCGGTAAATTATATACATGTTGACGTCAGTTTCGTCTGCACATTATCTAATGGATAAGTATGAATGTGTTAGTTTTGAAGCGGCGAAACGTACGGAAGTCGTGTGTGTTATCGCAGTAACAGTCACGCGTCGACATCACTATTGACGTATGCAGTGTGCGTCAACAACAAGCGACAATTTTACTTCATGCTTGAAAGTCTATGTTAGGGCTACAGCTGTAACTACCATTGACGATTCCATGTGGTAGTAATGAAAAATATTTATTTCTAATCTAACAGATTTTGCTAAAAGCCGTTCTTCTATCACCTACATACAGAAGTGGATACCTATTCCCCTATCGTTTCTTGTCAAGCCACATTTTGACTTATGCTTCCTCTGGTCATTATGCGTCTCGTAAATGGTCGGTTGTTGGCGTCGGTATCGTGTATACATATATATTATTCAATATCATTAGAAACAACAATATATAATATACATATATAATTAGTTATAATATAATGAGTTTGTATGTGATTGTTGCGGGCGTGATTGTCCTTTGTTTGGTTATAGGTTATTATTATATAAGTATAGAGATGCGTGCCACTACACATGTCTCGTAGTTTGTCCTTGTCATACAGGGGGAATATTGCTCTCTCTCCCAGTTAGAGCTGTTCCTGGTATCAATTGGCGATGGGATCAATCTCCAGATAAACTTAGCCAGTTTTTCTCCGTAAAGCAATGTAAAAGTAACGTACACAGGTATTAGATAAGCGAGAAAGTACTGCGACACGCGCCCTAGTGAAAGACTGGTAGTTAACTCGACAGCGGGAAATGCTAATCGGAACATATCCGTTGATAATAAATTTTCGGTTGCTTAAGGCGTATCGACACAAACACGTATCCACCCCAGTATCATATCGATAACAACTGCAGTCAGCAATTTGAGATACTTCATTTTTTTTTAAATAAAAAAGGTGTGTTTCATTTTGAACGCCTTTGTCGTTCCATGGGATTTGGGAGTAACTAAGAAACGCACATGTAGCCAAATCAGTTTCTACCACATTTCAGTATTGCTAACAAAGCCGTCCGTTCCTCCAGCCTCCAAGATAAATAGAACTTAGCTCTCGTAACGTAATTCCACGTTAGTTAGTGTCTTCCGTAAAATCATTTTCGATTTTTTTTTCACAAGAACCCCGAGGTTCAGGCGTAAGAGAGAGTAAAGAACAGACCGAAAACTGATATGGCGCAGACGAGGCAAAACTTGGCATCGTATGCAAACGAATAGACTCTAATACGTACTACAAAAATATTATTATTTTGGCCGATTTAGAGAAAATAGTGGTTCTAGAACAAGTAGTTTAAAAGGAATTATAAAAACATGTAGCACAACATAACTAGTCATCGCTTATAACTCTATAAACACTTTAATCGCTAAGAATCTTAAGCGAACATTTATGCTACAATTGGTAACCGTTGCAACGTCCATTAACATGAACAGATGCCGTTACAAGCATAGCATGGGAACGTTTGTCGAAAGAACATTGTAGTGTTCTTAGTGTTGTTCATGTGCTTCTGTGAATTATTCGCGAACAGCTAACGCTTATGCGATCAGTCATCATCGTTGTGACTGAAGTGGCTGGTTGCTAGTAGATTTGGATTTTAGGAAAATACAATGGTATTGATGAGGATACCTATATTAGTCTTATTTGAAAGACATAAATTCCTTTGAAGGTTCACTTGATTCGTTACAGGGTGCCATCGGTTCCATTGTCTCACAATAATTTATGTTTTGCAATGATATCTCCTCTAATTTTCCAGTAACTCTGTCTTTACATTGTATGGGTGCTTGGATGCTGACAATTTTTTCCTCACATCTATCTAAATAAAAATCATTGTGCGATGCGGCCAAGACGAGTTTTAGTATATGGGTTATTTATGACTTGGTTAAGTTATTATCCCGAAGGAGTTTCTCCAGAAATTCCTATATTTTTGACAGTTATATATACGTGAATACCCTTTTCGTGTAGCCCCATTTCAGCTATTCAAGTCGCTCTTGAATAAATAGTGTTTATTCATTCACCAGAGCCAATATCCGCTACATGTAATACGGCAATGACATTGATACGGAATATAATTATTGGTAATAGTAGTTTAATCCGTTGCGGTCTGTCGTTACGACGTATCCGTTATAATGATGTATCATAATATGAAAGACATAAGTCAACCTGTAGACTGGGTGTACGACTTCTGAGACCTATCGTCTTTAATATGTGGCCATCATAAATCGGCGCACGATACAGTTGCCACTGTCAACCTATGAGAAATTGGGAAACGTCTTCACTCTATGCCTTTCCGCTACTCCCCATGAAATTCGCTATTTTCTAATAGCCTCTCACACTCTCACACAATATTAGGTGAAACAACAAATTAAAGTACGACTCCGTACGAACGGACGCAGACATTGTGTTGCCGCTACGAGTTTTTTAAGAGCCTTTCATCTATTCATATGTGATTCTTTTTTAAAGAGAGAAATGGCTTATATAGCAGGACGTATTGACGCTATCTTCTCATACTGCAGCATATCGGGAAATTAAAAGCGGATGCCTTTAAATATGTTATACGGGTACGTTAATATAGGTAAAAAGGTGAAGAGTGTTCTATGGCACGACGATGTATCACGAACACGAAAATTTCGAGTCACGTACTTACTATAAACAAGAAACTAGGTAAGTGTAGATGTCGTTCCTCCTCTATCTCCTTTCAACAAGAAAGAATTCTTCAAAGTTAAGACATGAGTCTTAATGTGAAAAAACTGAACAGCAAAATCAATACGAGAAAACGTTCGTACTTGTGTCAGAATGGTTGCAATATTCTGCATTCGAAAGATGCTAAAAATGACATACAATTGTCTCCATCCCTTGCTTTCATAATCTAAAGTAATATAAGAGCATATAATTCACCATATGGTAGAAACAACGGTATTGGGAACTGGAAACCGTATTTGAAAGCCCTATGGGTACCTTGAACCTTTGAAACAATGACGCGGTGCCTTTACAGTGCCGTGTTTACTTCATTGTTTGAAGCTCTTAAAGCTTCCAACTTCTTCTTTTTCTCCTTTCGGTCCATGTATTCAATGCCAATGTCTGTTGATAGGCTACAGGCATTTCGCTTAATTATTAATTATCCGTGTTTATACAAAAATGATACAGTTTTTTTGGTCATAAGGTCACCATTACGAACTTTCTTCGTTAATATAAACTCATTCAACGAAGTGTGTTCGATGTCTAGCCAGGCTGTGTGCAGTCAGTATCGCCCAGTGGTTAATTAACCAGAGATTGCTATCCAACAAAACTAGTCTACAATGGCGCCCCCCCAAATAATCCTTTCTTCAACGTTTTTTTTAGTATTTTTTATTACTGTAGGCGCATATGATTATAGCCTTATCACAAAGGAGATCGATATTCAAATGGCAACAGAATAATCTGCCATAATATTTTACAGAAAAAGAGTTTGTGCAGGTTCACTGTCGTCTAGGTCAGTCTTTTCATCCCAAACACTTTCATACCATGAAGCGGACCCTCTCACGACATTTTATACAGGAGCGGTAGTAGTGGTTTATGTTTATCAGAAGACAAGATTGTTGTATGGCCGCTTGACGTTGTTAGAGGCTCAATTTTAGGCCGGACTTACCCTACCAATGTTTCTTAGGTCGGATCTTCTCGAAGAAAAATTGCTGAGCTCCCTGCTCTCCGTTCAGTTTCTCCTTGATAAGATTGAAGTGCCTTTTGGCAAACTCGTAGAATTCTGATTCGAGTTCATAGATGGGCCATTGCTTGATTAGAGCGACGGTGTCTGCTGATACGGCCTTCTTATTGGCGGTCTTTCGTAAGTGAGATTTGTTGCCTGGAACCAGCCAATGAAGATAAATTATGTAAATTGCCATCTCAAGGCATGAAAAATAAAAGTCGTAAGTATGAGAGAGTACAGGCAATCATTTTGGTGGGTGCGGTAGAATACTTGATACTAATAGATTTTGTATATAGCTGCCTTCAATAGTGAACGTTGCTGTAGTTATGCTATATTTAAATGTAACAGCATGTTATTGCGCCATCGCACGATATTATTTTGGTCGAACTGCAGTAAGGCCTACATGTCTATCTACTGGAAAACAGCGCGCGCATAAAGCTAACTTCTCAATAAATGAATGTTATAGAAGTTATCGCAAACACTCCATAGTTGAGCCACACTGATCATCATACATTTGAAAATCTACGCTGATTGCGCTAGAAATCACCTGTAGATCACATGTAACTAGTGAAAAGTAAGTTGACGACTATTATTAGTACCATTTTATTGCTAACTGTCAAATCACATGTCTTACATCTTGAAAAAACTTTTGTGTTTTTTTTTTGAAAAAAGTTTTCGGTACTTATATAAAATGAACACTATCAAGATATAGATATCTTGATACAAAAAAAATAGTATGATTTGGCTATAACACGCAAGTGCGTGCCAAAACATGATTGCACAGTCAATTTAATCTAGGATAATAAAATAAAGAATGAATGTGTTTTATTTATAAATCAGTAGCAGTAGATTGCCTTAAGCATTCTTTTAATAAAAACAAAATAAACCTAAACGCCTACCTAACTGAAAATGTTTCGAGGCGCCCCGAAAAAATCGAGGCAATACGATTTCCAATATATCCACAAAGTCCTGAAGTTGTTCAGTTGTTCCGACCTTAAATGTAAATCGAAGTAAATAGTTAATTTTATAGCAAGTCTACAGCACATAAGATGTTGACAATCGTTATAATAATGTGTTGAAAAAAATATACCTTTTTAAAAATAAAAATGAAGTCAGGATCGAAAATATCGAACATCCCCCACTTTCAATACCGTTATTATTACTTGCAAAATAAAACTGTTTCCTTTCTAAACTAAACTACACGAAAAGAAAAAATAATTTTTAGCAAAAACAGCTGACTAACAATAGCAATCAAATCGAATATATGCATTGATACGTTGATCGTGCAATACTTACCAGTAGATATTTATTGATCAAGTTGTTCTTAGCTTGTTCGAGAGCCCATCTACTACCAGGCTGCCAACATGTTGGAGCATGTCCACAAAAGAAGGGTATTTGCAGCCACATTTTGTCTTCAGAGCAGTCCTGGCCTTGTTGTCGAACGCATTCGTCAAATGTGCGCTTATCGCCGCTGCGCCGTCGTTGAAGATGAGGCCGAAAATCATCACCGTTGCGTAGAAAGTAATAATAACTCACCTATTGCAAAATGGCCCAATAGCTTTACTCTGGAGGTAGCTTCTTCGTAGGCTACTAGAGGTACATGTGCCTGTTCTTGCATCTGTTACAATTATGTGCTGTTTAATGTTATATTCGTCAGCAATATTACATATGCTATATGTGTTGTAAGTGTCAAACGAGTGGTTTTAATAAAGCTGAATCATTAATTATTGAAACATATATACGTATATGGGCCTTGTTTAAGCTAGCTAAGAATTAAATCAAAAATAAATCGTTACAAGCATCGTGGTGAGGACGCTGTAAGTATATTAGTGCCAAAGCACAAGCACCGAGGGAGCTAAATCGAATCTATTTCTAAAGCATCTTTCTTCCAAAAGATCTCGTTGAAAGCCCATTCGCAATAATTAACAGCCAATACCCGTGATAAGGCTGCAAATTTGAGGCATTCAGTCCGTGAGTGATCCAAAACTAGAATCATGTCTAGTTTATATGATACTCACGAGTCTCTCGAGCGGCTCCCGAACGATGTTAATGTAAATCGGCGGCGGCATCCCGAAACGGGCGAAATCCAGAAATGCGACGTGACCGTGATATATCGATGGTTTCATCGCTTCCCATTGTGAAATATTTACAGAATACCTGCAAATGACAGTAGGAATGAGCCTTCTAGTAGCTTGAGCCTGGAAAGTAACAGCTCTGAAATAGCGGTATAAAATATCAGAACCGTTCACGGTTAAAATTGTCAAAAACTGCTATTTGTCCTACAGGGTTGCGTCTGGTGGCTGTCGTGATCGTTCAAAAACAACTATTCATCATTTTAGTAGACGGTAGCGGTAACTACAAGTTTTTTTTTTAAATTTCTTGCGCTTCGTTAAAGTCAATTTTTTCTCTCTTTGATTATATATTTTTTTCAGTTTGGTCAACGCTGTTGAACATGACTGCAACGATTCGCGACATATGCACTCCATTATACAAAGAATCATTTCAACACATGTTGCTAACGTAGGAATGACAAGGAAAATTCAGCCTAAAATTCAATGCAGGCCCTCTAATGTATTAATACAAAGAAATAATTGATTAACTCTGTTATTTAGTAGTTACACGCTAAAATTATTAATATTGATTTTAAATTATAAATATTAATTTTAGCCAATCAGTGCTAACCTTCAATCAGCAGCTATAGCAACTTGTACAATGTCATAAATAGCATAAACACATTAATAGATATACCTCATCTGGTCTGCGACAGACATAATATGCATGTTTCGGCTCGTATTAATGTGTAGCACAAAGAATCTGTTTTTAGCGCAAAGGTCATACGCGACGCCGGTGAACGATGTGGATGCAGTTTTCGGGACCCGATTATAGATAATAACCTAAAAAACAAGCCGATACCGAATGATCAACATCATTTATTTCAACAACTGCAATTCGTCTCGTGTTTACAAGGAAAAGAATATCGAAAATTTTGTTTGGAAAAAAAATCATATATATATATGAAGACTATCAAAAAAAGAGAACTTTGTTTAATATAGAACTCATAGACCGAATTACTAAGGCGATTCTATTTACAGCGAAGGTTCCGCAAGGGGCAAAAGAAATCTTAATTATGAACCGTTTTTTTCAGCCTCGTACGCACAAGTCGCAGAATCTAGTAAATATCGTCAATAAACCGATCAAAGTTATTTAGATTCGGTAAGCATAAAACAGTAAGCAGTAAGAGAAGTTCTTCATTAATCCAATTTTACATTCTTTGGACGCATAGGTCTCAAACTCGGTGCAGGCGCATATCGCACTGGGGGCAATTTCTCTTAACTTTCCTACAGAAATACAGTGAACCTGTTTCCTTTGAGCGCGCGACAGCAGCTATCTATGTTACACGTGGAACGGTTAGTCAACAATGCATTTCCTGTTACCAAAATTTAAATTTTCATCTACAACATATACTTGATTCACGGAAACACGACGGTCGTACGTTTGTACTTGACGCTCATAATTGACCGACGTGGCCAGTTTTCTTCTAACGGTGATCCTGAAAAGATTTAGCATCGATTGGAATCTACTAATTAAAGCAACGCCACTTAAAAACAACTATTCTACCGTCATGCAAGTAGACGGACCGGTATCTACCCGCTCAGCAAATGCAATTTTTGATGACTTTGATAGTTATACGCTGAAAACAATCGTGTCGCTGGTTATAAATTAGAGATAAATGCTATTAAAGAACTTCCGTCTATAGAACAAGCTATCGTCTGTGTCATTAGATCGATACGTGATGATTTTGAGGATAAAGTTGACACACGCCATAAATGGAAGCGGGCAGTGATGTAGGGGCGAGACGCAGCAGAATGTTGGCCCGAAGTTGCGGCAGTAGCTGACTGCTGTGACGCATGCTCTGTTTTAACCTGTTTACATATGACGTGCACGATATGGTAGTCTGATTTGAGGACGGGAGAAACTTTAGGGTGGCACGACGAACGACGTATGGAAATCTTTCCTCATTGCAAACCTTATTTAGTTAATGATCTTGCGTTAATAAATCATTAGTAAGTTAAACTCCCTTCGCTCTCTTTCGAGCAGTTGTTCGCTTTAGCCAGTTTTTGGACCACTTTTTCGCATACATCTGCAGCACTGTTGAGCTTGTCCACTTTCCGCGATTGTTGCAGTATACTTTAATTTTGAGGTACCTTCATAAAAAGCAATAGCGCGCATATATTTTGCGCTATCTCTGTCTGGTGGAGCATGTCATTACTAGTTCTTATTCTTATTCGTAGCTATCACTAGTTCTTGTTAGAGATAACTATAACCTTTGTTCGCGGAATAACCTCGGGCTTTTTTGTGACAGGCAGATTGCCATCGAATGCCCCCACATCATGTGACATAACTGCGCTCGATTTTTTTGTGAAGGTATGTAGAAGATAAGGTCCATTAGAAGAATCTACGCGCGATGGACAGATTTAAGGAAAATATATGTTCTGCCATTTCATAAATGGAGCAAGATCTATAACGAAAACTGGGTGACGCAAGTAACTACTATCGAGAAAGTCTATTAATTTTGTGTTTAGGTAGAACTTTAAAGTTTGTAATAGAAAAAGGTTCATGTGATGCGTTTAGTCGTTGAGTTGAAGTCTCTATCGACCAAACGACCATCTCATATAAATAAGGATAACAACCCTGAACGCAGCGAGAGCAACTTCAACGAGACAGCATCGCACACCTCAGAGAAAACGAGGCAAATGGATTAATCAAGGATTGTCAAGCCTTGTGTGGCTAAAAATGTTTTTCGCTATATACCAATGTCCAAATGCCTAAGTGGACTAGCAACACAATGAGATCCTTTTATAACGCAAACAACACCTAGCGGATATTACTGTTATAACTATATACGGGCGGCTGGTAAGAAACTGTATTTAGAGAAATGAGTGCCATTTAAACCAACTGTAGCCGGAACGTTACAAAAAGATGTGAATTCAGTGGATAATGCGATCAGAAGACGGGAGCTAAAATTGAAACCCAGTGTACGGAAACGGATACATTAATTTCATATAAAAATAATTCTAACAGAAATATCTGAAGCGAGTAATGGTGTACCGTTTCAATATACGCATATAGAATATACTTATATACATATAACAAGAATTAAGCCAGTTTGTGTTTTTTACTTTACAGGTTTATCTATGGGGTGCTATTAAAGGACAAAGGCCATTCTATACGAATAGTTTAATCTCTACAAAGCCTATTTCGACTATAATCTAGTATCATTTCAGGTGCGGCGCTGATCATCGTAAGCACAGATATTAGCGCCACACTATGTTACGTGATTATCAGCTCTCGCCTAATTCTTCACCGTACCATTACGGTTTCGTTCGGCTACAGGCAAAATCCGTTTGGACGCATAATTTTTACATATGAATCTATGAATTCGTATGGCAGAAAGCAAAAGGTAATAAGTTATACTTCGCTGATCTCACATTAATGGAAGTGGAATATTAATTACCTGATTGTCGAATGTTTTAAGCGGAAGCCCGAGCGAATCGTCCATGTCTTCTGTTTGAGAAGACGGTTCTCCCAGAACGGGGAAACGATTGAAGTTTAATCGAGCCAGCATTTTCCCTGAAATCAAATATCCATTTTGATGTTAATATTGAGCCGAATAAAACCTATTCAGCGCAAGCAAATACGCCAACCCGCCATATGCTGAAATGAGTAGGCACAAATTCACCAAGCATAGGCTCGATAAAACAATATAGTAATTAAAATTGCTTTATTGCAGTTTTTATTTGGGCTAAAAAAGGATATTACAGATAGGATAACCTTGAGAATATATTAGCTCGTAAGTATCGGTAAACGTTTATAATAAGAATAGTCAGTTCGGATATATTTCGCGATTTGTCTTAATAGACTTACCTCAGAAATGGCACTATTTCGAAATATCGCAGGGTCCCATCATATTTTCAATATATATGTATATATCATTGACTCGAATCTTTGCTCTCTAGCCATAGCATAGTTACGCCTTACGTAACTTTATGGTACTTTTTTGATCCTGTACAAGCACGTTTGCACTCTATAGTACTATAGCACTTGCGTAATTAATTCACTGATAACTGTAAGTGCTTGAATCGCATGTAGATTCAGCCGGTTCGGTATTGGAAATCGACAGTAGGAAAGATCGTACAAAATTACCTGGTATTTAGACTATGCCAGGATCACTCTAATACATGCAGATCTTTGCTACTAAACTTTCAGGCTCCCATTAAGACGTTTGATTTCCCGCCTAGTGGACAAATCTATATCGCTAGTAGAGTTTAATCAAAAAGAAAGTAATTTAAAGAACTTCTAAAGCTTTCACCACTCAGAATATATTCTGCATCTCAAATATTGCAGTGATTGTGATAGTAGCATATTTTTTATTATATATATATATATGGTAGTACTATATAATAACTGAAGTATCGATTGAAGCATTGATCAATCGAGCAAGTTACTCTCAAACATCAAATTTAGAGCACAAATGATATATTTGTTCAGGGAAGTTAATCGAATGTGCTTAGTCTTGTAGTCAATCTCGCTGAGCTTATTTTGCAACACCATATAGCAGAACTTCGTTAATACCGTACTAATATCAGTAAACGCTTGCCAGTCATCGTTAACGGGAGGTAAATAGAGTAAGAGCCTTATTGTCAATTTAACGGGTTTGTAGTGACACTGTATATTAAATCTGTTTGCCCCAAAGGTAGAGTAACATTTTCCGGGGTCAGAGAACCAACTATGGGGATCAGAGAACAAACACCAGTAATAAACGTCCCTATGTTTGATCTAATTTATTATTTAACGTTCACGATGTCTAAATAACTAATACGATACCGTGTACATGTTTACAGCTGTTCTTGTCCTAGCGATAACCAAGTGTATCAAATTTAAGGACTCCAGGACAAATGACTTCATCTTAGTCAAACTGATTGTTCGGAACGAAAGAGAGCCATACGTAAAATATAAAATATGTCACAATGGTATACCGATGCGGCTTGCAAATGACAGTTCAAACGTGAACAAAAAAATAATTGTAAGGCGTTGGCAGCACCGAATGCGCAGCTTTCTATTACGAATAAGTAATCCAAGAAACAACCTTATAATGATATACGGAAATGCACATTGATATGATACCTATGCAATAATCTCATGTAATTGTTGATCTAGCACTTCATTCTTTTAGATTTGTGCAATTTTTACAGCTCCTCTAGAAGATTAAATATTAAAATAAGCGATATTGAATTTTTTTTTGGTGTCAGTAGTCCAATTAAATTTAATCAACCATCTTTTTTAAAATATTTGAAAAAACCCATTTGTAGATGGAAAGAATGCGACCAAAATCTAAACCGGCCTAACCAGGCGATACGTAAGTGGTGAAAGACATTACAAAATAGCCTAAGAATGATGCAGCTTTGTATCACTCGTCTGCCGTTGTAACATGTTTGAATGAATTTAATAATTGAAATAATTTAATAATTTATAGTAGAAATGGTCCTTGGCTTTTGATTCAATGGCATAAGCCTACACACCCCTTTCGATATCGTTCGGTAACCTAAAGGGAAAAAGCTATTGAAAAATGAAAATAAATTATTACGATTGTAGTTATGTGATAACTACTTCTACCAATGAATACTAATTAGTGGTCACCTGTTTCACACCCAAATGCTCAGCTCAGGTTTGACGTTGCAAATCAACACGATCCAACCCAAACAACATCGCCGGCCAAGCAAAAGATCACAGTGTCCGATTATACGACGCCCTTTCGGCAACGTATTGCGGATCAAAAATGACGTTCTTCTGGCAAATTTCCAAAAGGCCAACAATGAAAAGATTCCCTAGAGGTAAGTAATTACTGAAGGGAAGTAGAAAAGGAAAAAAAAAATTGATACCAGCTCGTTTTCCTGCATTTCCAGCAAAACACAAGTCAGATGATGGCTCCTTCAACATTATTAATTATCAAGCACATTGCAATCTATGCACTTGCTTTGCCTATTTTTACGAGTAAGCATCGCCGTATTTTCTGGTCAGAGAAATTCCATAGCATGGCACGGATTTCTTCATGATTTTCAATCGATTTAACCATAGGAACAAATGTACGAAGCTGGTATGATTGTTCTGCTAGATCGATTGTTTACCCCAAACCTTCAAAGGCTTTCAGCCGTCTATTACAGTATTTTATTTCCTCCTATAGTAACATTGTTCCTGAACCTGCTTGAGCCATCCTCGTTTGTTTATCTACTCACGACTTACCCATGTATTGGTTCGTCTCCTCGATGGTCCGCATGCGGTGCTCGAGTTCGGTGAATAAGAGAAACCATACGCCGAAGAAGACGAGGCCAGCGAAGACGCGCCAGAGCGCTGGCGTTCGCGCGACTGAGGAGAGCATCTCCAGTCCTCGGGTGGTCACATCCTGTCGACGGTTACCGCCACACGCCAACCCCCCGATGCTGCTGCTACCGCCGATGTTGCCGGCACCCGCACGCACTGTCGTTTTGCCACCGAATGCCCCGCCAACTCCGTTCGCCTGCTGCGACAGGAGGTGAAGCTTCAAGTCCGCTCCGGACATCGACCGTTGCTACTCTAACAGCTCGCGGCGGCTAGCAGCAGCAGCTTTACAATCAGTGTAGACAACGTAGGACAAGGAGCGGAAATAGGTGGACCATTCACGGTCCCTAACGCCCTCGCCTAAATGGCAAAACTTCTACCCAATAGTTCCGATTTCAAACTGTCACCACTGACTTTCGAACACTCTCCCACGCCTTACGCTAGTAGTCGATATAGCAAAAAGCGTGACGTGAAGAGGACCGTTATGCTACCCCGGTCCTCGCCCCAAAATCGGAGTATTTTCTGGCCTCTAATTAGCATTTAGGAAGCCAGAGCTCTCAGCTTGGCTGTCGTTGGTATATAGCGTGGGGCAACCTCTTCAGACCCCAACTAAAATCGCGCTAATAGCACGTATTTATAATTCGTAGATTCGCTTTATTGAAATATATGCAAAATCTATATTCATTTAACAATAACGGTAAGTTACGGAGTGACTACATAAATACTGTGTACACTATATGTTTGGACCGATTGATAGATGAATTCGAACAAGAACCGCTTCTTTACTGCCTCTCAGAACGCATTAGCAACTGGCTGGTGTGACATGGGCTTTGTGGTCGCGTTTTCTACTCACTCACCATCGTTTTCTTTTTAATTCCGCTTTTTTTCCTACTTTTCACATTAACACCAATACGTCCTTTCCGTATCAGGTCTTCACATGGCTTTTTAGGACCCCCGTCAGCTGCAGGCAACAATTGAACCTGGGGGTTTTAGTAGCTTTTAAAGCATTGTTTGTCTGCCTTGACGCTGCTGGGAAAGGTGGTGAGCACTTCACCACAGCGTTTTAAATCTCAACGACGAATTCCGACTCGCCGTTGCGAGATCCTCGTTGCAGTTGTGTGGGTTTTGACAGTATGTTTAGCTGGGCAACTGGGGTTGATTGTTCTGCTGCAGTTTTATAACCGAGAATGAGTCCGCTCCTGTAAATGACGGGACAACATATCCACTGGGAGAAAGTTGCATTGTATACGGCTGCTAGAGAGCCAACGAACGGGCAACGGAATAGCCGAGGCCACTATTGTATCGAAGTGGCAGCAGCAGCAGCAGCAGTAGGACAACCGTTTGGCGCAGAAATCGTTCAGGGGGTAAGATAGAACCAGCATCAGCGATAGCCCTCTTTAACCATCAGCTCAAGCAGACGACAGAGCCGTAATGTTATTTGCCCACACTGATACTGTGGTCTTTGCCCGATCAATGGGGGGCGAAAGAGCTCCTCCTCACAAGGGGTATTTCAAAGTTGGTAGTAGCACCAACATTGGTACTACCATTGCAAAGGGGATAGCTCCTGAAATGCGGTAGCACCCTCAGACAACAATGTCACATATCACCCAAAAATAATCTGCAAGCAGCACTTTACTGTGGACTAATAAACGAAAACGAAGATTCAATCATGAAATATAATATCACCGCGCTACTGCCACGTGGTGTCCCAATCAACGTGATGACCGTCGCGCTCCGAAACCAGCGCGGCTGGCTGTCATTCAGTTAACTCTCGTTTACTTTCGGACCTGACGTAAGTTGCGATGTGTTGAACGACATTCCGTCGATTTGGATGGCGCGGAGCTCGAATGAATAAATGGCGGGCGGGACTCCCACGGGGAGGATTACTTCGAAAAACCGCGAAATCTGTAACATGCATGCGAACGACTTGGCCTAAATTTTTTTCAAGGTTTCATATTCTGTTGATACCGTGTCGAAATATATGTCGAACAATGCAATCGAAATATAAAGTACTCCTTGTCTACTTCTCTATTAAAACCAGGCTTTAAAGGTTTTTTTTCTTATTACCTTAACTTGATAATAATCCTATTGCGAACAAAATCTCAGACTGGAACACGAATTATGTGTTATAAAAATTAAGGAAATACGAAACGTCAGGAACACACCGGAATATCTTATGCTTCTAGTTCGCAATTCTATTGTCATGACAATTAGGGTTCAAGCGAGTATAGAAATATTGCGCTAAGTATCGCGCTGCTACAGGACCTGTCATGCCTTGTAGTAGTAGTAGTAGGAAACTTGTGATAAACTTGAAAAAAAAAAACAATATTTGTCAAATAGCATCAATTTTGCCGACGATGTTCATAACTGATGAATAGGTAACACGTACAGGTCTACTACGACTGTCATAAAAACAATAAATCTTTTCTCGTTTCGACCGCATTATCATATCAATTCTATTGTAAACTTTATATGATTCATATAAAACAGAAGCACTTTATAGAATATATCTGGTTGGCGTGGAGGGTACTAAAAAGACCGTTACCTAAAAAAAATATATTAAAAAATAGATCCTTATTTTGATTTTAACATTCCTAACTACTCTAGTTTAGCCGTTCGGGTGAAATTCTTTGGAGCATCGCAAGTATAATTGCTGAATAGATGTAATGCGCTTGAAGACTGATCTTACCCACAGCCTTAATCAGAACTTAGAAAAATAAGGAGCATTGCAATATACTGGCAAATTTATTGACCTAATATCGCCTAAAAGCCTTTGCGTACTTCGCTGAAATGTTCGATGCTAGACGTATTTATTTTTTCTCTTCGTTGATTAATCAGTATCTCATCTTTAATGCTGGCCTTCACAGCTAAGCAATCCTAGTTGCAGAGTCGACAGAATTCTCTTTACTTTCTGCAACGGAGTGTCCAGCCAGAGCATACTTGGAGAGAAGTCTATACTGAAAGTCGAGTGTATTGTTGCAAACATTTAAGGTTTAAAAGAAACCCGCTCAAGAAACTAGCGTGTTAGTCTCCGTGGCTTGATCTACCCCCAGAAACCGAGCTGCAGTTTTGAGTAGTATATGGAGGGCTGCACAGAGGGCGCTACTGGTCACAGACTTCGTTGCAGGCTTGACCGGTTTAGCCTGTTAAGGAAAGTTACATGCACAGTCGTGTAAAACAAACGCAGGAACCATTTATCTAGCTAGAACAGTATTCATCAATTTCATTGATTACTGGCGTCGAACGGAAAAAACGAGGAAAATAATCTTCCGCAAAACTCATTTCGTCATTATTGAAATACACCTCTTTAATTCAGTAGCAGTGAGCAGGGTATTTCGTTTGTAATTAACTGACACTTGTATATAAAATAAGCTTATTGCACTTACATGAAGATAGGTATAAGATTATAAATTTTTCGTTTAATTAATTTTGGTAAAATATACTTTTTTCGCAGATACTCTTACTTGAGTTCGTTTTGGAAGACTACTCGGCTAGTCCAAGTGCCATTAGTGCAGAAAAAACACCGAAAACGAGCTCAAGTTCTTTTGATATAACTACCTTAAGCGAATGTTAAGTAATCGCGGACACGGTATCTAAAGATATTTAAAAATGTAAAAACTATTCCATTCGGGCTCAATTTTTGCGTATAGGAAAATCTCCAAATAAAATATCTAGCACTGTTCAGAGAGGCTATGTGACATGTTGGCGGGATCTCTCTTCTCTTTCAGCAGGAAACTTGACTGCCTAAGACACGGCAAATTTTCAAGTCGATATGATAAACAACATAAAAATCCTATAACTGGTTAAACTATAAGGGAAAAGGGCTGATGGTAGTATTTATTCAACTTGTGGTTAAAATGTCGACTGCATGTACATTTTGTTGTCGTGCATAGATATTTTAAGCGCTCTTACACGCTGTGACGTGTAAGCCACAGATTGCTCGAAATCCGTACATTTAGTGATATTCCACTACGTAGTGCGCGAGGTAACTTGTTTGCTACTTGACAGAAATCGCACGCTGCCAAAGTTGCATTCTGGTCATCTGTTATTTTGAATCTTTCCAGGATTGGATAAGTTTAGAGCACGCCACTTCGCTACGACGTGTTACGTGTACATAAACATGGTTCATAAACATCGTTACGAACAGTCGATAGAGCAGACGTCATGCAAACAAACTTATATCATTTATACGTACAGCACACAGCTCGAGATCGGTATGTTTCAAGTGTGGTATTTTCTCCATATATTTTATCGATTATTGTTAAAAAACATCATCACGTTCATAGACATTGCTATTTAGATTGTTGACGGTTCTTTTAAATTGCTTACTGCCCTTATAAAAGACACTGAGTTATTGGTACGGCAGAACCACGTGTTGTGTGTTGGTGGGGTTAGGGGACTTGTCTATATATATATATATATATATATATATATATATATATATATATATATATATATATATATATAGACAAATACATATTGAATATTGGCTAAGGATGAGATAAGGTTGTATTGATACGTTAAAAATATCGTTATCAAACTTGATATAGGTCCTGTGGCCGTTAAACTGCAACTTTGTGATGTCGTAAAATAGGACAGAGTTGAATTCACCCGTCGCGTGTCAAGTTCACAGAAATGTGTTTTTCTTTATTAGCCGTAAATTATATATCAATTGTTGTCTACCTATCATCCGGTAATATACTGTGATTTGTACGTGTGGTTAATATAAGCTGAAACGCGTGTTCTTCTAGTTTAGAGTGGTATGAGTATTTCGATTCATACATTTTATATGTTTCTCAAAATTGAAGTATGTCCAGAAACTAGTGTAGAGGTCAATTGAGAGGCCCGTAGCGTGAAACGGGCAACCTTTCCAGCATCTCTCGTGTTTTTATCCGTCATCCCTCACAGTCACAGTGTCCTAGTTCTTATCATGGGTGAATCGAGCATTTAAAATTACGAGGCGTAGCGTCCCTTTCTCGGACGCTAGATCGGTCTGATCCGGTATTTTTCCGTTACGATCTTGGATATGGATCCCGCTAAGTTCATACTTAATATTTGCCACCAGCGTATCGTAGCGCTGTCAGCATCTAACCTTAGCTTTGCTTGTTTTTATTGTCGCTAATCCCTTCATTGAGCAGCAAGTCCCGAAGAGCTACTATAGCAAGTACGTTGAGGAAATGACGAGACGCGCTCCTTTCGTCCTACCCACTATATTTCACCAATGAAGTCTGGAGGGAGGTGCGGCAGTGAGCCGATTTTTTAGCTTCAATTTATAATCGAAACAAATAGTATATAATAGTCTATAATTTCAAATGGCGTCTTAACTCACTCGGATATAAGGTCAGGTTAA